AGTATATTGTTAGTTGACTTTAAAGCCTGATGCACATCTAAAGAAGAGCAGGCATTGGAGGCACACACCCTTAAGGATAGGGATTATGTCTGGAGGTGAGTGAAGGGCAAAGAATGAGCGGGAGCCACACAGAAATCATCCAAGATACAGATAGAGTTCTGTTTACACGAGACGGTGACTGATCAGATTTGTTTTGGTCTCTAACCAACCCTGCCAGCTGCTGGTACCTCAAAGGGGGCCAGTATTTGTCCCTGTGACTAAATCCCCAAATGCTGCCCTGGAGGCCCCTTGTTTCCACTAGGAACAATGTTATTTCCCAGACTTTCTCCTCCTTCTCCATTTGTTTTTCATTATTTAAGCCTCTAGCTCTGCGCTGTATAATTTGGTAGTCACTAGCCACACGTGGCTATTTAAATTAATTAAATAAATAATTTCAAGGACTCAGCCAGATGTGGCTGGTGGCTGTCGAATTAGACAGTGCATTCCACAGACATAGACCATATCCGTGGTCGCAGAACGTTCTGTCAGACAGCGCTAGTATAGTTTATCCCATTTCTGTGATGCTTTTCTCAAGCCAGAAAACTGAGTCTCTTTTACCCCTTTTACCACCCCCTACCAAACACCATCAATCCCCAAGTCATGAGGAACTGCCCGCTGGATGTGTCTGCCTGCTGCTCTCCATTGCTTCTGTCCCCTCTGCAAACAATCCAACATGGCCCCTTGTCTTGCAGTGCCTCTCTGGACACCCACATGCTCACTCTGCATCACCAGAGGGCCTTTGCCACCTGTTGCCTCAAGGAGGACAGCTTGGGCCATCCTATTTAAAACCACAGTCATTCTTCCTCTGGCCTTCCCAGCTTGATCTTCTCCACTTACCAGCTTTGGACATACTGGGGAGGTCATTATTGCCATTTTCCAAACATTTCTCATACTCACCTCTTCAAAGCACAAGATGCCTTTGCATTTCCTGGATGAGGCCACATGGCCACTTCTGGCCAATGAGTGTGAGTGGAAGTACTGCTTCACTTCCAGGTCAGAGTATTGAGTAGAAGGGAAGAGTCTCCAGAAAGTTCTCTCTCCCTCAGGCATGACAGCCATCTGTTTGAGAATCCCTGTGTGAGCAGAGCCCCTGGGCTACCTGTTATGGGCAAGTCAAGTCAGTGAAAAATCACCTTATTTTTTTAAGTCCCTGAGATTTCGGGTTACTTATTACTGTAGCCTAACCTAGCCCATCTCGCTGAAAGTGAAGAGGACATGTAGCACTGTCTTAGTCATCTAGTGCTGCTATAACAGAAATACCACAAGTGGATGGCTTTAACAAAGAGAAATTTATTCTCTCACAATCTAGTAGGCTACAAGTCCAAATTCAGGCATCAGCTCCAGGGGAACGCTTTCTCTGTCGGCTCTGGAGGAAGGTCCGTGTCATCAATCTTCCCTTGGTCTGGGAGCATCTCAGCGCAGGAACCTAAGGTCCAAAGGACGCACTCTGCTCCTGGCACTGCTTTCTTGGTGGTATGAGGTCCCCCATCTCTGCTTGCTTCCCTTCCTTTTTATCTCTTGAGAGATAAAAGGTGGTGCAGGCCACACCCCAGGGAAGCTCCCTTTACATTGGATCAGGGATGTGACCTGGGTAAGGGTGTTATAATCCCACTCTAATCCTCTTTAACATAAAATTACAATCACAAAATGGAGGACAACCACACAATACTGGGAATCACGGCCCAGCCAAATTGATACACACATTATTTGGGGGACATAATTCAATCCATGACAAGCACTTACTGATGAAGATCAAAGACTACAGCCTTCAGTGTGGATTATACCTCAACATAAAGAAAACAAAAATCCTCACAACTGGACCAATAAGCAACATCATGATAAACGGAGAAAAGATAGAAGTTGTCAAGGATTTCATTTTACTTGGGTCCACAATCAACACCCATGGAAGTGGCAGTCAAGAAATCAAACAATGTCTTGCATTAGGCAAATATGCTACAAAAGACCTCTTTAAGGTGTTAAAAAAGCAAAGGTGTCACTTTAAGGACTAAGGTGCGTCTGACCCAAGCCATGGTGTTTTCAATCGCCTCGTATGCATGCGAAAGCTGGACAATGAATAAGGAAGACCAAAGAAGAATTGATGCCTTTGAATTATGGTGTTAATGAAGAATACTGAATATACCATGGACTGCCAGAAGAATGAACGAATCTGTCTTGGAAGAAGTATAACCAGAATGCTCTTTAGAAGCAAGGATCTCAAGACTTTGTCTCACATACTTTGGACATGTTATTAGGAGGGATCAGTCCCTGGAGAAGGACATCATGCTTGGTAAAGTAGAGAGTCAGTGAAAAAAAGGAAGACCTTTGATGAGATGCATTGACACTGTGGCTGTAACAATGGGCTCAAGCATAACAATGATTGTGAGGATGGCACAAAACCAGGCAGTGTTTCGTTCTGTTGTACATGAGGTCACTGTAAGTTAGAACCAACTCAACAGCACCTAACAACCACCACCACAACCACCTAGCCCATTCCGATTGATTCACACTCTAGATTTCACTTGTTTTTTTCATTGTTTCTCTCCCTGGAATGAACGTTCCGCCAGGGCATGGATTTTTATCTGTTTTGTTTTCCTCGTATCTTCAGTGCCTGGAACACTCAATACTTGTTAACTAAATGGACACATGAACATCCAGGACTATGATCCCTGCATAACTGGGCTACATGCCCCCAGTCTTACCTTCCAATCTATTCCCCACCCAGCAGCCAGCATTATCGTTCTAATATGCAAATCTCATTGTGTCACTCTTTCTTAAACTGGCTGCCCACTGCCCTCTCCTAGCATTCACAGCATTTTGTGCTCTGACCCCTGCTTGCCTCTCTAGACTCATCTCTTGACTCTGCCAGCACTGCCACCATTCTGACCCAAACCCACCACACGGTCTGGTCCTCCATACCTGTGCACATACAGCTCCTGGTACCTGGAGTGCTCCTTGTCACCTTGTCCACTTGGCAACTGCCTTTTCCTTTTTTAAAAGGAGGCACCTGTACTCTGAAGCCCTCCCATCCCCCGTTCCTAAGGAGTTCATAGCTCCCTGCTATGCATCTTGTACATACCTCTATTGCTGTGCTCTCACCTGTCTACACATCTTTCACCTACACTATACCAGCGATCCTAGAGGAGAGAGAGCATGTTTGATTGATTTCTATGTCCACCTTGCCAGCACAGAGCAGTGCATGTTTGGTGGAAGACGACTGTTGTTAGTTGCTGTTGAGTCAGCTCTGGCTCACGGTGACCTTATGTATAACAGAATGAAATGTTGCCCAGTTCTGCGCCATCTTCATGATCGTTTGTATGTCTGAGTCATTGCTGCGGCTCATGTCACTCCATCTCATTGAGGTTTCCCTCATTTTCACTGACCCTCTACTTTACCAAACATGATGTCGTTTTCTAAAAATTGGTCTTTCCTGATGTCGTGTCCAAAGTAAGCAAGACTTAGTCTCACCATCCTTGCTTCTAAGGAGCATTCTGGTTGTATTTCTTCTAAGACTGATTTATTTGTTCTTCTGGCAGTCCGTGATATATTCAATATCCTTCACCAACACCAGTTTGAATGCATCAATTCTTCTGTCTTCCTTTTTCATTGTCCAGGTTTTGAATGCATATGGGGCAATTGAAAAGACCATGGTTTGGGTCAGGTGCACCTTAGTTATCAAAGCAGTATCTTTGCTTTTTAAAACTTTAAAGATGTCTTTTGTAGACTGAGTGGTGAATGACTAAATGGCTAATTAACTCAAGTCACTTTCCTGATCAAGCTCTCAGCTCGCTGGTCCGATTCATAATACCCACTCAGTTCTTCACTTGATCTTAGCCAAAAGGCCAAGAAGCAATTCACTCAGTTCTTAATCCTTTACTTTCACACACATCGTTTTATTTAATTCCCACAATAAGAATGCAGGGTAAGCATCATATCCTTATTTTACAGAGCAGGAAACTGAGAGTCAGAGGATTGAAGCTCCTGCTCAAGACAGAATGGCCAAACCAGGAATAGAGTCTAGTTATCCAAGTCTTTGGTTATCCACACCAGATCTTGGCCTTTCCAGAAAACAAGAGGGTGGTGAGGCACAACTGTGCCTGGAGAAGTGGCAAAAGGGCTGGAGCTATGTACCACCAGGGTTCTGTTTACTTACGTCCTGAGAGCGCAGCCCAGAGTCTGGGCACATATAGATGCTCTTGAATCAAACCCAGGCCTCGACACCTTCTTTTCGTGGTGCGTGGGATTCCCTAAGTTGTGGCTTATCTTCCTTCCAGGGCGCGGGAGGAAGGGTCTTGCTCTGCCCCTCTTACCTGTCACAAAAATTTAACGGGAGAGGGTAAGAAAGCCAAGATGGTCTTTCTCCCCTTTTGTCTCTTTTTTTTTCTGTCCCTTTCTGCAGTGGGAGTGACACCAAAATGATGCGGCGGTGGTGGGTGGGCGAGGAGGGGCTGCCAAAGCATGGTGTCACTAGCGTTGGTGGTGTCACCTGTCACCCGGTGAGTCTCACACACACACCCACCCCACCTCATCACCCGCCAGTCACTAGGGTTGGTGCTACTTCGTCAGCAATACCCTCCACCCCCTGTCACCCGCCAGTTAGGGCATGGGCAGCCGCCTTGGCCAACGAAAGAAGGGAGGAGCTGCGGGGGGCCGGGCGGGGCGGGGCCGAGAAGGGGTTCGCCAGCCGGCCCTGCCCACCGGGGTGGGGTGGACTGGGGCGGGTGTGATACCATGTATTAATGCACTAGGCGACGCTATCCCTAGTGACGCGACGGCCTTCTTTCTCCCTTCCTCCTGGAAGGGGGGCCTCGGCTGACGCCCACCCCTCTCTAGCCGCACGGCCGCGGGACTTTGCCCTCCAAGGTCCTCTGCCTTCACTTCACGGCGCTCTGGCCGCCCCAGCCTCGACCCAGCTTGCTTCCCGTGAGCCTCTGCTCCTGCGCGCGCCGGCGCTCATGCTCCCTACCCAGCAGCCCCCGCCCGGTCCGGCAGAGCGGACGCTTAGAACTTGAAGATGGCGTCTGTCGGTGAGTGTCCGTCCCTTGGGTAGGGTTGTTTGGTCGCCGCGTAGGAGGCTTGATGCGGGGTGCGGGACCGGAGCCTCACTGGGAGGGTAAGGAAGGGAGGAGGCTGTGAAGCCACCTGCCCTTCGCTCACAGCCCTCTTCGCGGCCTCCCTGAGGTGCGCCCGACCCTTAGCCCGGCGTCCTGCGCGGCCTGGTCGCGTTGTGGAGGGTGAGGACAGCCGGGCCGAGCGCCCCCGGGCCTGGGAACGCGCCGCCTCGGGCCCGCTTTCCTCTCCGCTTGGGGAATAGCTTCTCTCCTCCCTGCCGCGCGCTGTGCACTTGAACGCTACGCGCAATTTTTACCCTTCTTTCCAAAGTGAAAGGTCACATTAAGCTCGGGAGGAGCTAATGCCTAGGACGTACCTTACAGCAGTAAGGTTCAATGCATATGTGTTGACTGCGCTGAATAGGGTTAGCGAAGTGAAGTGACCTTGAACGGGTCACATCTAGTAAGTGTACTGAGCTGGAATTTAAGCCTAGGTAGTAGTCCGGGGCCTCGTGGTAAACTCAGCTTTATTCACAAGGCTGGCTTTTCGTTAACATGCATATGTATATCTCTACACTCATCGGGCTGTGCACATTTATTTTTTGATAGCTAAACCGTGTTTTAGCCATTGATCCTTACAATAGCCTTGTTAGGGAGTCAGTGTCGGGAACATTTATCTTACTTTAAAGATGAGGAAAAGAATGGCCAGAGATGTGATGTGGCCCACCAGAAGTCATACAGCACGACAGTGGCAGAGTTTTGATTACCCCATGTGTGTCCTACTCCAGTTTCTATATTGTTAATTTTCTGCTGGAGAAGTGAAAAAGGGTCCAGAAAAGATGAGAAGCAGTTTTCCCCTCTGTCTCATTGTTCAGACAACATGAAAAGAGAGCACTGAGGCTTAGCACACTGCCTGCATACAGTTGTTGTTAGGTGCCATTAAGTCAGTGACCCCATGGGTTTCCTAGGCTGTAGTCTTTATGGAAGCAAATCACCAGGTCCTTCTCCCGCGGAGCCGCTGGTAGGTTTGAACTGCCGACCTTTTGGTTAGCAGCCGACACGGTAGGTGCTCTATATTTGTTGGATGAGGCTGGATGGAAGGTTGGGGCCTGAATGTGTCCCTAAAGCCCTGCATGCTAGTCATTGGCTTATGCATCCACTTGTCACTTGTGGCCTCTTGACAGCCAGTAGCAGATTGGAAGTTAAGCCTTGCATTTTTGGTTATGCAGCAGGCCTGAGAGGCCTTGCCCTTGTTAAGGGTGGACAGGTGTCAGGAGAACTGTGGGATTCCCCTGGTGGACTCTTGAAGATGCTCCTAAAGGAACCTTAGCTTTTCCTTGGATCCCAAAATGGAGAAAAAGCCTTGGAGTGATTTAGTCTGGCTCTTCCTGTGGTTGGTCATCTTTAAGAAGGGACAGTGGTCTTTGATTCTTTGCCTTGAAGAGAACACCTGCTAAGTTTTAAAAAATCGATCTTTTGCACTAGATAAGTGGTAACTTTGGTGAAGGGTAGGACAGTACGCAATACTGGGGAAGCCAGCACAACTTGTATAAGGAAAGCTCGTGGAAGCTCCATAGACACATCCAAACTCCCTGAGGGACTGAATTGCTGGGTGGAGGGCTGTGGGGACCATGGTCTCGGGGAACATCTAGCTCAATTGGCATAACACAGTTTATAAAGACAATGTTCTACATTCTACCTTGGTGAGTAGTGTCTGGGGTCTTAAAAGCCTGTGAGCAGCCACCGAAGATACTCCACTGGTCTCACGCCTTCGGGAGCAAGGGAGAATTAAGAGAACAGGATACAAGGAAAAGATTAGTCCAAAGGACTAATAATGGACCATAACTACCACAGCCTCCACCAGACTGAGTCCAGTACAACGAGATGGTGCCCAGCTACCACCACTGATTGCTCTGACAGGGATCACAACAGAGGGTCCCAGACAGAGCTGTAGAAAAATGTAGAACAAAATTCTAACACAAAAAAAGACCAGACTTACTGGCCTGACTGCAGAAACCCCGAGAGTAGTGCCCAGGGGCACCCTTTTAGCTCAGTAATGAAGTCACTCCTGAGGTTCACCATTCAGACAAAGGTTAGACAGCCCCATAAAACAAAACGAGACTAACGGGGCACAACAGTCCAGGGACAAGGACTAGAAGGCAGGAGGGGACAGGAAAGCTGTTAATAGGGAACCCAGGGCTGAGAAGGGACAGTGTTGACAGGTCATGGGGTTGTTAACCATTGTCATAAAACAATATGTGTACTGACTGTTTAATGAGAAACTATTTTCTGTAAACCTTCATCTATATTACACTAAAAATTAAAAAAAAAATTGATCTTTTTGGGTGAAGATGGGAAGAGAGACCATCTCTACCTTGGAGTACCTCGTGGACACGTTGCTCCACCCACTCCCTTGACGCTATTTCCCTCCATTCCTACTCTTGGCCCAGAGAGGAGTACAGTATGGCCTCATCCAGGAGCCCTTCCTGTCCTCTGTCCCAGATGTTAATTGAAACATGGTCTGGGGCCCATTGGATCATTTGTATTGGTTTTGTATTGTTATTTGACTTCTTGGAATTTTGTTTTATTTTTTTTATTGTACTTCAGGTGAAGGCTTACAGAACAAATAGTTTCTCATGAAACAGTAGTGTGCATATTGTTTTATGACATTGGTTAACAACCCCACAACATGTCAACACGCTCCCTTCTCAACCTTTTTTTTTTTTTTTTGGTGAAAATATACATAGCCAAAGATACACCATTTCAAAAATTTCTACATGCACGGTTCAGTGATATCGATCACGCTCTTCCAGTTGTGCTGCCATTCTCACTTTAGATGAAGGCTTACAGAACAAAATAGTTTCTCATTTAACAGTACACATGTTGCCCTATGACAATGGTTAACAACCTCACAACACATCAACGTTATCCTTACTCAACCTTGGGTTCCCTATCACCAGCTTTCCTGTCCCCTTCTGCCTTCTAGTCCTTGTCCCTGGACTGCTGTGCCTCATTAGTCCCATTTGGTTTTATGGGGCTGTCCACTCCCCGGCTGAATGGTGAACCTCGGGAATGACTTCACCACTGAGCTAAAAGGGTGTCTGGGGGCCATACTCTCGGGGTTTCTCCAGTCTCCTTTAGGCCAGTAAATCTGGTCTTTTTTTTGTGAGTTAGAATTTTGTTCTACATCCTCCTCCAGCTCTGTCCAGAACCCTCTGTTGTGATCCTGGTCAGAGCAGTCAGTGGTGGTAGCCGGGCACCATCTAGCTGTACTGGACTCAGTCTGGTGGAGGCCTTGGTAGCTGTGGACAATTAGTCCTTCGGACTAATCTTTTCCTTGTATCCTGTTCTCTTCATTCTCCCTTGCTCCCGAAGGGATGAAACCAGTGGAGTATCTTAGATGGCTGCTCACAGGCTTTTAAGACCCCAGACGCTACTCACCAAGGTAGAATGTAGAACACTGACTTCTTGGAATATTTTGTCTCTTATTTCTGCCTCTGGAAATTGCTGACCTCTGTGGTCCCAGGTAGGATGCTTGAGGTAGAAATTCCTTTGGTTCTTTTTATTGAACCTACTCAGGCTAGCATATCCGGGGAGATAGTGCCTGTGCAAACCCTGGTGCCCCTCGAAGCCCTTCAGCAATAAACTAGTGCATCTAGTCAGAGTGGACACCTCAGAACACATCACAACTGGTGTCCTTCCACATCTGCCCCTTATACATTCCCCAGCAACAGATCCTTCTGCCCTGGGCATGGTTCAGGGATCACAGGGGCCAGACCTGAGTTGAGTCCTGCCTCTACTACCTGCATGCATGCTGTGTGACCTTGGCCAGGTTGTCCAACCTGAGTCTGCTGCCCTCCCTATAAAATAAAAGCATCAACTACTTGGTAGGATTGTTGTGAAGATTAAATGAGCTAGCATATGTAAATATTGGTTTTGCAGTAATTTCTCTATCCTCCACTTTATTGCTTTCCTCTTCACAGCTCTTAGCCCTCTTTTTACATAGTTTTTCACAGCAGGCTGTCAAACACATCCTGTTCATGAATAAAGCTGTTGCTGTGGTAGTTCTACCATTATGCACACTCAAGCTTTAAGCTGTAATATAGCTTTAATAGTGGATTTGGAGGAACATATTTATGTGCAGCCTCTACGTGGTGACACCTTTATTGAATGTTTGGAGTAAGTGGCTTAAAAGGATGCTATTTTTGTTCTTAGCAGATTTGTCAGTGCTGTGTTTTTTCACTCTTTTCAGTACCACTGAAGGAGAAGAAACTCATGGATGTGAAAATAGGGGAGCTGCCCAGCTGGATACTGATGCGGGACTTCACACCAGGAGGCATTTTTGGAGCATTTCGGAGAGGTCAGAGCCTTACGGGAGCCTGTAAACAAAAGCAGATCTCTGGGTCTTAAGGTTTCTTCTTGCCATGAATTAATTTGGGCAGTAAAGGCCTTGTTGTCTCATGAACAAGTTTCTTGAGAAGAATGGCTCTCACCTCCTTCCTTTGAGGTCAGCAGGGAGAGCTTGTTAGCCTTTTAACTTCCTTTTTTTTCCTTTTTATTGTACTTCAGGTGAAGGTTTACAGAACAAATAGTTTCTCATGGAACAGTCAGTACACATATTTTTTTATGACATTGGTTAACAACCCCACGACATGTCAATTCTCTCCCTTCTTGACCTTTTTTTTTTGTTGGTGAAAATATACATAGCCAAAGATACACCATTTCAAAAATTTTCTACATGCACAGTTTAGTGACGTTGACTATGCTCTTCCAATTGTGTTGCTATTCTCACTTTAGATGAAGGTTTACAGAACAAAATAGTTTCTCATTGAACAGGTTGGACACATGTTGCCCTATGACAATGGTTAACAACCTCACATCAACACTGTCCTTACTCAACCTTGGCTTCCCTGTCACCAGCTTTCCTGTCCCCTTTTGCCTTCTAGCCCTTGTCCCTGGACTGCTATGCCTCATTAGTCCCATTTTATGGGGTTCTCCAATCCCTGGCTGAACGGTGAACCTCAGAAGTGACTTCACCACTGAGCTAAAAGGGTGTCTGGGGGCCATACTCTTGGGGTTTCTCCAGTCTCCTTAAATCTGGTCTTTTTTCTGTGTCCTTTAACTTCCATTTTTGATTGGCCCTGTCCAAGGCTGGCTTCAAGATAATTCAGCCAAGAAAATTTTTTCTGTTGCTTGGGATCAGTACTGCTGCCTCCTTCTTAAAAGAATTGTCTATGAGCATTTTTCCATCATAAAACTTCAGGAGGAAAGTGAGTTCAAAGTACAGTGGGCATCAGTTTATAACATGCTGCTGACCTCCCTGCCAGGCAAAACTTTCACAATCAATATTTGAAGCAGCCTATCCTTCAGGTCTGCAGTTACTTTAAAAGTGCATGATTGCTCAGATCTTTCCTCCATACCTGTCTTGTCATTCTCGGCACAAAGACCCAGCGCAGCCCACAGGGTCCGCGGGGTCCCAGCCTCCTCAGGGCCCCTCCATCTGTTTTCCCTTTCAATTCTGGCCACCCAGGCTATCTTTTAGTCTTTTATGTGCTGTGTTCCCCCCTGCCCAATGGCCTGTCCTCAAACTCTGCCCTTCTCCTTTAGGGAGGTGAATGGCCTGCCCACACAACTCCCTGCACTGCCCCTTCTGGCATCCTTCACTATAGCGTTTTGTGATCATTTCAGTCTTCCCCCACCAGGTTGTGAGCCCCCAAGGACAGGGAGTATGTTGTTTTCTCACCGTGGGTGCAGTGTCAGCACATGGCTAGGCACCCAGTGAAGAGCCTTCTCCCAGGAAGGCCAGGCTGACCCTGCTGGCCATGGCCAAGTGGCTCTTATTGTGTGTGGAGTCTCAGTCAGAATTAGGTTAAGGAGATCCCCAGGGCTGGAGGTGGAGGTGAGGCAGGATCAAAGGCCTGAACGATCAAGGTCATAGGGTAGGGGCAGAATCAAGGCGGGCCTAGCTTTGGAGCTGGTCCTGTGCTAGTGAGGACCCAGGCCCTACCTGGGGGCGTTTGTGCTTTTCCTTTATCAACCAGTGAGTGTAGGGTGAGTGGCTTAGAGGCAGCACAGACCTGGGTGGTCCCTGAATTTAAACCTGAGTTGACCTCGCACCGTGTGAAGCACGTGCACCACCAAAGCAGGGCAGTGACTGTCTCTTCTGTTTGCAGGTTATGACCGGTATTACAACAAGTACGTTAATGTGAAGAAGGGAAGCATCGCTGGGATTTCCATGGTGCTAGCAGCTTATGTGGTTTTCAACTACTGCCGTTCTTACAAGGAACTCAGTGAGTGCCTTTTGGATTGTCTTAACTTCAGTGGAGTGCCTGTAAGAGGGTGGCATTGGTTCACTGTTAGATTTGGCCATCCACCACTCACTGGTCAGCTGAGGGATCTAAAGGATGTTCCTTACCTATGCTCCCACCTGAAAGGACTGCAGGGACTGATCAGAACACAATACAACACATGGGATTTTATTTTAAGTGAGGACATTGTTGGGAAAGAGAGAATAAGATAAAGCTGAGGTAAAGGTAATACTTAGGAAGCATTCTCTAAGATCCTGTGGGCGCTGCTAAATGTTGGTGGAAATTTTGGCTTTAATCATCCTAGCAGCCAGTGTGAAGAAGGAAATAGGTTGAGTGGTGCAGTCCAGTGTCTGTACAGTGCTCTGGGAAAGCACAGCTGACCCTGGACCTGAGAGGAGTTTGGTGGAAGATGCCAGGAACGGTCAGTAGTGGCCTCTGACTGGGTTTGCAGGGCTGTTTCTGAGTGCCCAGCCCCCTGCTGGTCTGGATGCAGCATATGCTGTCTCTGAAGGACCAGCTGTTCATCTTCCTGAAAGGAAGAGGCTGTCCAGGTGGCAGATTAGCTCTGAGGTGCCTTCAGGTCTCCCGACTGAAGTTTTGGGTCATCTCCCCAAAGTAGTTCTCAGGATAGCTTTACATAATATAGCCTTCCCTGCCCGTCTTCTTGTGCTTACTATACCTTTTAAGAAACTTTTAATCTTCTTACTTTAGAACATGAGCGGTTACGTAAGTACCACTGAGAGGAAGCCAGTGGAGAGGACGCCATCTGCATTCCCGGCCATGGCCGCTTTTGCCCTGGCACCCCTTCCCCCTTGAGGAACAGTCTTTTCATGCCCTAATTAAAAATTAGTGTCCAATAAAAGATGACAGGTATGCGTGGTGTCTGACTGGGCCATTCTCCTGCACTCTAGGACTACCTGCGTTCTAGACTCCCAGAGGTGGCTGCCGACAGCCCAGAGCTTTGACTTCTGAGGCCTAGTGGTTTCCCACACTACTGCTTTGGGATCTTGTCCCAGCTCACTGGGCTGTCCAGCCAGTTTGAGGCTGAAGGGGAGGAGCCATGGCTGCTGGGGGGTGGGGTGTCACCCAGAGCTTCCCTGTCAGCGGTGCCTAGAGGTCTGTCCCTGCTTTCTGCCAGGAGTGTTTTGGGCATCTGGAGGCAATTTTTGCCTTTTACTGGTGGACACTTTTACAGGATAAACCAGAGGCCCTGTGTTCATAGGACCATCAGACCCCAGCTGGCTGCTGTGAGGCCCCAGCAGGGGAGGGGTGGAGTTGCCAATATACAGCTAAGCCTGAAGACAAGCCTTTTTGAGGATGGCCTGATGTCACCCACCCCCACCTTTCTGCATTACCTGGGGGCATCAGGGGCAGTGACCCAGCACTGTCTGGAGAGTCCCCAGGCCAGTGTTGCGCCCCGCCCAGGCTGCATTTAGTGGGGCCCTCCTGGTAAGGAAGCTTCACTTGCAGAAGCTCAGGTCAGGGGCGGGGGTGGTGGTGGTGGTAATGAGGTTAACAGACCTCCACATCAGCACCCCCTCTTCCTTACCCTTCTATTAAAGGTCTTCAGTAAAGTTCAAGTGGCAGGAAGGCCAGAACCTGCTTCTTGTTGAACATGTGGTCAGCACACAGACTACATGGAAGGGAGAGGGGGCTGTGCTGTATTTGAATAAACAGGGTCATCCAACATCTGAGATGAGGAAAGGTGACCTGCCTGGTGGCTCCTCTGAAGCCCAAGCTTTCAGACTTGACCTGGGTCCAGCTAGCAGTATCACTTTTCCTTCATGAAATGCACGTTTGTTGAAAGGGAACAGAAAAGCACCGACATCACAGCAACAGCATCAAGAGGCCTTGGCACAGAGTCCTTTAACAAACAAGACACGGCTTAAAAAACAAGCTTTAATCAAGCTTATAAAATTGTTCTTGTACTTGAACTTGGACAGGCCCACTTGCCCAGCAGGTTGCAGTTGACATTTCACATTTTCCAGGCCCAGAGGCAGGGTGGCCTCGTTCACACGCCAAGGGCACGCTGGACAGGGTGTGAGGTGGCACACCAGTGGGGTGGGTCATCTGGTTAAAAGATGGTCTTGCAGGTGTCCCAAGAGAAAATAAGCTCAGAGGAGACAGCTCAAACTTCAGAGCCCTGTACCCCTCAAGTGCTGCCACCTTGGGCCACCTCCTAATCACATTGATAGGCACAGCTTCTGAGTTCAGCAGGTCACAGAGGAAGTGGGCCTGCCCTGGCCTGGCCACAGCTTTGAATGATCTACCAGCCCCTAGGTCACCAAGAACTGGTGTTTAATGAGGCCCTGAGGGGATGGCCACCTTGCATCCAGACTGGTACAGCACAAACCCTTCCCCAGCCACAGCCTCCCTCCCCACGGGGCAGGTGTGCGGGGAGTCCCAGAGGAGGCATTAGCGCCTAGACAAACATGATGCCGGCCTAAGGCAGCCAATTGGAGCCCAAGTCCCTTTTTTAAAAAAAGAAAGAGATTACAGCAAAATGATAGGGAAACTAACAGCTGTAGCCCCTCGGAGGACACCCCCGCCGGGCCTGCCTGCCAGCTCTCACCAGGGCTGCACCGACACTGGCACAGAACAGTTAAACACACGTCCCCAAGGATGGCCTGAGGGTTGTCCCCAACAACAGGCCCCTCAGGCTGCTCTGAGGTGGCTCCAGCTGCTGTCACTGTCCACTGAGAAAGGCCAAGTGGCCTTTGGTGCATCTGTTGGCGTAGTGTCCTTTCTCACCACACTGGGAACAGCAAGAAGGGGGAGGAAGAAAAAACAACACCATTTTCAAATGTGTTTCCAGCTCCAGGAGCACTCATCAAGCAACAGGCTGGTGAGGGGGCTCTGACATTCTCAGTAGTGCACAATCTCTCCAACACGAGGAAGGAGAAGAAAGGTTCAGTGGGGCAGACACGGCAGCCAGCACCTTGCAGAGGGAAGCAAGGGACACCATCACCAGAAGGCCACCAGACAGCATGCACCCGGGAGCTCTTTCGGGCCGGGACCGTCTTAACCACTTGGTACCACACCTGCCCCATGT